AAAATATTTTAAAATATATATATTTGTTATCCACTATGTACCTGTGCTTTAATAATCCTCAATCTAAACTTCTATTTGAAATATATACCTCTTTGCACATGATGCTAAGAGTTACATACAAAATAAGAAGACATGTAACCTGAGAAAGTAACAGGCTTAAAATGACATGCTGATACTGACCTTTGAAGTAACAACTGTCGGAAGTTCCCACTTTGTGGACTAATGGTTAGGTGGTGAGACAGATAGTTACACAACCGTGCTCCCAGGTAGGAAAAATTTGGGACAGATGTAGCCTTCCAAAATAAAAGTGGAAAAATAGGTTATTCATAAAACTCATGATTAGGCTATCAGGAAATACCTTTAAAAGCTTTTTTGAAAACTGTGTTTAACAACAGTTGATTAGACAACTGAAGAGCAGAAGATTAATAATTACTGTTTGTCATGTTAATTTTTGTATCTCATCAACACTGTTATATGCATTTCAGCACTTAAAAGTTCATTATACTCTGATTTTGTGGCTTTAAGAAAACAACCACCATTATGCCATGTGTCCTCAACTCTACTTCTCCATTGTGACCTACAACCAAAGAGTGTCTGAAAGTCACGTACAAACTGTTTATACAAAAATCAGCAGTGGACATTAAGACATTCTTTCAAGGACACGCACTCTCTCAAGGAGCAACGAGTACACTAAAACAAAACAAAAAAGTCGCCTTCGTTCAGTCTAAGAGCTATTTACCCCAGAGTCTGTTTTTGGCAATAGAAAATGCCCAGAGAAAGAGTACAAGAACACAGCAAGTAAAGATAAATACTTTCTCCTCCACATGTTCCAGCTATCTGCAGAACAGCAAACTCCTGATTCAGAGGTTAAAACTATATGATTACAGTCAATAGCTCTTGATGAGTCCTTTTTTCTAAAACTGGTCCTGTTATATTGTTGAACATTTACACTTCTGTCATCTAAAAACAGGTGATAGCAATAAAATTCCACAACATAAGTTAAGACATTGTCTGAAAAATATTTTGCTTTAAATCTGATACTTCAAAATTTCAAGGTGGAAAAAAGTAATTGGGAATTTAACAGTGTCTATGTTCAACCTCTCACAGAACTTCATGCAGAACGTCCCCTTATTTTGGCAATTTATTACTGTTCACTTGTTTTGAACTCTCTCCTAACAACACTTGAATTTGTTTCTCAGACACAGCTTCAGTGAAAAGAGGTTCTGTTGTAAATAACTCCATCAGCTGTGCCAAAAAGAAAACAGGGATACTAAGAATTCATCAAACTTGTCCTATGGCTTTATCATCTTTGAACATTCATTTTACATCTTGATCATCTATCAGCACTATAGATGTGCTTGCACACTTCTGCTTCTAACATGTTTGAAAAAAGCATCTTGTCATTAGCATGTCAATGCATTATAGCTAGTTACCTTCTACAGGCAGAGAAAAATATGCACTCAATGTAACTGTACAATGTGCATAATGCCGCTGGAAAAAACTGAAGTGTCTTTAGAAGACACAACAAGTTTATGTAATTAAGATAGTCAAATAGAATTTAGTTTCCAATAAGAGGCATGTGAAATAGCTAACAAGCTTTTTGGTGCCTTGGTTCAATCAGTTGCTTGGACTAGAAGAGGTGCCCCTTTTTTAATAAGGCAAAACACATCACTTTAATTACACATCTCTTTCCTAACAACAAAAAAAAAGACCCACAAAACCCAAACCAAACACACACAAACGCTTCAAACCTCATCTGTATTTTTTAAACTTTATCTTCCTAATTAGTTGGTCTGTATTTGTGGTTGCATCAAATACTGAAACAATGAAATTTTCGGCATTGTGACCTGGCATATCACATGTCACGCAGACCAAAAAAACCACATTACATCTTCTTAATAACCAATCATTACAATGCAGCATCATCTTCCCTGAATTATTGTTGTTGGTAATCCCAGTTTATCTCCCACTCAAAAAAGTCACAATCTAAGCATGAAGGCTAATCTACCAGTACGTATCTTGAGAAGTTTTAGTTGCTGCAACAGGAACAATCCACTATATTAACTATACAACAGTCAAGATTCTTAAGCTATGAAGTCAGAGTGTTCAACTTTTGGAAAACAAGAGAACTGGCACTTCACTCTGTCCAGAGACATAAATGGATTAGGAAGAACAGGGTGAAGTGTATAATTAATCTTTATAGACAGGCTAAGATACCTGACACACAGATGAAAGGAAGACTGTACAGGACTTGGGTTTCCTTCACTTTAGTCTTTTTCCTTCACAAACCTAGCATCTGTAAATGTGCTCAGTTGGGTTAAATTGACATCACTGAAGCAGATGCTTCTAAATACACTTCAGAAATTTTAATTGTTTTGTGATAAGACAGGAAACACAAATACTTGAGTCTCTGCTCAAGACAGAAGAATAATAAGCATAGTTGACTTACAATTGAACACTATCCTATCCTGACATACAACAAAGCTAAAATCAGATGCTTTTGGATACTAGCACAGCTTTTTTGCACTGTTTTTTTTTCCACGTAATTTCAGACTGATAACACCCAATGCTTCTCAGCTGAGGAAGGCACAGCCAACTGTAACACTGGACTTGTTTTTAAACAGGGGGAGATAGGAAAAGGCAACATTAAAAGACTTACATTAAGTAAGAGTCAATGTATTTAACATATGTTAAGTTAAAAATGGGACAAATTCCTCCTTTTTCTTCCAATAACGTTATATGGAATATGTGCATCTTTTTCTAACTAACCTCCATGTGTTCAAATAAAGAATGGGAAAATGATGCTGCCACATACAGCACAGGTAATCTTAACGTCGAACTAAACTGTTCAAAATTAAATGTGCATCAATGCTGTATGGCAACAAAAAGCTTGAGACTCTACAGTTCTGTACAACAACCAACCAGTCACGCAGCTTCTACATACCCCACATTAAAATATTCTGCAACTATCTGCACGTGAAAGGTGAATATGAGCTTGCATTCTTCAAGGTAGAATTTGAAAGCAACCAACCCAGGAAAGTGAGAGATACCCAATGTAATAAATAGCAAGCCCAAAAGACAGTAACAGCAGCTCATTTGCTAAGCAACACAGATTAAGCTGTTTGTTCCAATGGCTCCCCCAATTAGTACAGAGTTCAGCTCAAGGTCTCTGTCCTCATTTCCATGGCCATCAATGGGACTGGACCTTGTTACCATTAGATGAGCTTTCCTTTCCTCCAATTATGCTCTTATGAAATAGGTATATTCCAAATGAAGAAGAAAGCCTGTCAATAAAGAGGCATCTCCCAAAGGGTGATATGTACAGTAGGTATAAATTGAATTTGTTAGAATACCAAGAAATTAGAAGTATCTTAAGCATTATGAAGACTTTTTTGCAGTACATAAGAATGTACAACTCTGACATTGCTTAAGAGTTTCTTCAGTCTCTACTATACAAATACAGCAATTCAAATATAACTCCCTTTAATTAAAGTGCTGTAATTTCAACTCTAGTACGTGACCCAGGAGATCCAAATACACAACAAAGGAATCAGAGTAAATTGGGAAAATTTATCAACCAGGTATCCCACACTTGAGCTACCATTTCAATTTATTGAGCAAATGTAAAAAAAAAAAAAAAAAAGCCATTGAAATACTATGTAGACACAATTACAAAACAAGTAATACTGATATGCATGTCTTGGACACTAGGTAACAGAGTCATAACATCCATGTTGTAAGACAGAATGCACAGGCTACCTGCTGATAGACGAGTTCAACAAGTTCTTGTAAACCTTCATCCGCGGCAACCCAGACATTCAGTGTTTCGGCGAACTGCTCTATTTCAGTTTCAAAACAACCTGGTTGCTCAGTGAGGTGGTTTAAGAAGTCTTGCACATATTCTGCCAAAGTCAGATAGCCATCATATCTATCTTCAAAGGAAGAATCCTATAGCAGTGAAAGAATATACCAACTATTTAAAAGGAACCTAAAATAATGCTGTTACACTTATTATCTCCAGAAGTAACCATACAGCCCTTAAGTCTTGAGTCTCTGCATACTTGACAGTGATCTTTACACAGTTCACTTCAACATTTTTAGAGACCATAGACCTCAATGCATCAGAAAGCTCCAGTAGTCCTATCATCTGAAGAACTAGGTTCATAGGGAGTAGGGTCTCCCAGTAAAACACATCAAAAGACAGATTAAAAAGAAAACAGTTTGCCAAGTTGGGTGCCAGATTAACTAACAAACTAGGAAGTAAGTATACCTGTTAAGAATAAACTACCAAACTGAGGCTCAACACCCATTCCTGATGCACACACAAACTGTGCTGCAGATATATGAACTATAGAAGGAAAAATAACTGAAAATTTGAAACAAAGTACTTTGGGCTTACATAGTGTGTATAGTTCTCCAAAATATGCAGAAGGGGGAGAAATTACAGAAATACAATAAATACAGCGTAGTGCTCCCATGTAGAAAGTATAGCCAGGAAAACTAATCTTTTAAAGTCAGCAAATTTGCATCTGTTGGCAATGGATGAAAGGTTATAAGGCATGAAATGACACTATTCAAACAGTATTGCATTAATTTGAAGCTACTGAGGTTAAAAAACAAGACAGTAAGCACACGTGCTCCCTAAAGAAAGGATGAGCTAACACAATACCACTTTATTGGTATTTATGCTCCTGCTGATGGAACAGAATGCTGCTAATTTTGTCCGTTCAGAAATGAATGTCTGTAAAAGTACCTAAAGTCAATACTGTTCTGGATGATTATAATGCTAGTATATGAGGGAACAGCCCAGGAAGCAGCATACTTTGCGATATCACTAGTAATAACACAGTACAAATAATTCACTTTGTCACACTACACAAAAGATTGTGAAAAGCATCTCCTATAGATATCAGAAGTGCAAGCAGGAGCCTGGAGGGGGACTACTAAAGAAATGACTTATAATTTGCAATTCAAGACATAAAGGTAACATACAGAATATCAGAATTCTCAAGTGATCTACTATTTAACAAGAAAAAGGTTTAAAATCTGTCTACTGTAATGAAAAATCAAGCTAAAAATGATAAAACACTTTTTCTTTACTCAGTAGACATAAATACATTGATAAGGTTTAGAACTATATTCTCCCTCTCCCCACCACCCCTCTCTTAATGAGCAGAGGTTGCTTATTTTCTGTCTTCAGAATGCCTCAGTCTCTCCTCTACAGGGAAGCAACATGGATCCATGAAAGATTTTTATCTGGATATGAACTGTGGAGAAAGACAGATACACACTGCTGAAAAATCAAGTATTGACATGAACTTCATGGGCTGTGAAAAATGTGTGGGGGAAAAAAGTAGATTTTCCAAAATTCTTCAAAGACCCGCATCATAAAGGTACACAACATAAGCTAATGGGGGACACATCAATATAACAAAAGAAAAAATAGAAAGATTTCCTATGATGTTTAATTAAGTAGAATATTTGCCCAGATAATAATACTAAAGACAAAGTTACTTAATGATGCCCATCAGAAATAGGAAAAAAATATGGGTTTAAAGAAATGCTGGCAAATTGTTACTACTCCTAAGAATAAAGCCTTCAACAACCTGATCTGAGTTGGTTTTGCTTTGCGTTGGGGATTGGAACAGAGGAACTTCAGAGGTCCTTTCCAGCCTAAAGTATTTTATGATTCTAATGCTTTAGAGCTTATAAAGCCAAAGAATAAAGGCTAACAGGCCTATGTATAACTTGCAAGTATTGTATTTCTCTAAAAGAAATCAACTTTTACTAGGCAATTTCAAATAGCCCAGTAAAAGTTCTGTACAATAAACTTAAACTATTTTGTTCCACAGAACTCTGGCATTATTGTGCAACAACTGCAGCGTAATCACATACAGCTGAACTAGCATCTCTCCAAACAACCTCTTTGAAAACTCTCCAGCCAGGTTGCAGGGAATGCAATTGCTGTAGCTAATAAAAGAAGCTGCTCTTTCTGACAGTTGTCAGGTTGTTATAAAATACTCATTCAGCAGAGGGGAAGGTATCTTCCTCTCATTCTCACCCGATAAGAATTCAGTCTTGCGCGAGAATGTCCTTGTTTTCGAAGGGGCCCCAATACCATTTGTCTACTGGTGTCCCTGTATTCATACTCCTCTTCCAGTTTTGTAATTAAGAGGCTAAACACAGAGGCTAAACTCTGTACTACGTTCATCTACCTGTATTAAATATGCAACCCCGAAGGCAGTCTAGGTTTTATCAACTATGCCAGGGAACAGAGCAAATGGGAGAGAAAAATGCGTAATTCAAACATTGTAATAGAGTTGTATACTGCTAAATTAGTTACACATGATACTTTAAAAACTAACTAAACTTACCCCAGTAAATTCTAGAAATAAACCACCTGCATTTCTCATTGGCAGATTTTAAGGTTTAACAGAGAAGACAGCACCACATACTGTATCAACTAAAGGAAAACAAAGCAAATCCTTCTTACCATTTTTAAAGAGCAGTTGGCTAACAGGAGGCTCTAGGTTTACACATTCACTACAGATTTATGATTCAAAGCCACGAAAGTCAACTAGAAGTTTCCCATCAATTTCAATGATTTCTCAGTCAAGCCAACACTGTCTAATCCTTCTTTATGTTTGACAGGATAGTGTGGGATAGGATGGGATCCTGGATTATTCACAACAAAAGAGTCACCAATTTAAAGATTATAGATTTGCCTCTCTTCTACTAAGAGTCAGTTCATGAGTTTAAAGACATAACAACGAAAAGGCTAAATAGGTACTAAAACTCCTCTGATTTACATAAAGATAAAGCCCAGTAAGTCTATAGAAAAGATCCATAAGCCAAATCTGCTTTTGGGCTCTGTTTCTGTACATGTGCTATTACTGCCTTCCTATACCTGGTAAGTATTCACAACATTTCCACTTAGGAACTTAGTCATTAATAATTTATCATTTTTTTGATTTCTCCTCAGACTTAGGAACAAGCTTTTTTCCCCTTCAGATTACATACACTCAACAAGTTTACAATAAAGTTTTTGCAAAATTAAGTACAAAGACTGCTGCATATATAAAATCACCTATCCATGCTGTATGAGGTTAATTTGCACCCCTGTGCTTGGCTAAACGTGTAAAACCAACACTGAGGTTGCTTAGCCTCCTTCTGGAATTTAACTGAAATTTAAAAAAAAAAAAAAAAAGATAGCAGGGGTGTGAAGGATTCCACCTAAGATAATATAAATCTCGTTCGAAACACTATGAAGTGAGAACATTATGCCCTTCTGATGGAGTGACAGCCATAGTATTATCATACACCCATGCCAGAGAGCAAGGCTGATGTTTCCTACTTGCAATCCAAACCTAAATCTAGTCACCAATTCTACCGCAGACATCCACAACTTCTGATGGGACGGCCAGCTGTATGCAAACAGAAAAAGCCACAGAGGTCTTTCTTCCCCAAAGTCCTGGAAAAGTTTTTTCTGAAAATTCTAATATGCCTCATATGCTGTACTCCTTAAACTATCTTCAAGGGTAACTGATAGTTTTGAGTATCAGAACTAACTGGAAATTAGCTTTTTTAATAATCAAACGTTAAGGACACACACAGTAATTACAATAATGTACAATCAAACAAGAAATCAACACTTCATTTCTAAAACAATAAATGCTTAATAGCAAAACCACTGTGTATTTTATAAGAGAAATGTAAGTTTTCAGGTCTAAAAACTCCAGGGAACATTATAAATGAAAGCTAAAAAGGATTAGTTTTAAATAAGAAACCCAGAAGTTTCTCAAAACTTTTGTTTTTATTCAAATTTTAAAACTCATGGTCAAAATCTGTGTAATAGTAAGGTGTGCTAAATTTCTTAGTTTTATTGCAAGTGAGCCCAGTTTATGAATTTAATGCAGTCATTAAAGAAAAAAAAACTGCCATAGTGAAGGATGAAAGTCTGAAACACCACTATTCTGTGTCTGGTATATTCTGATTAGATAAAGGTCCCTGCAACATACTTCCAAATAAATGTTCTAGGTTTTGCTAGCATTTTAAGAGGTATTTTTATTAATAGATGAGTCACATTCATAGCCTATTCCTACAACATAGCAACCAGGAACTCCCACATGCTTGTGTGTTTTTGCAAAACAGCTGAAAAGCAACATTGCTGGCCTCAAAACTTTGTAATTATAAGTATGCATCATGTATGCTCTTCCAAATGGCGGGTTTTTTTGGTCTTGAAACTGAAATCCTTTATTTACAGAAAACATGTAACATGTACTGGGGCAAAGTAGTTATTTTTCCTCTAGATTATCCATTCACGGAAGCATGTTCATGTTGGCGTTTTGTTAACAGCTGTCTATCAGCTATGGGGCTTGTATTATCCAGGACAGTAATTCTATTCAGTAAGCTGGCAAAGCTGGTAACATTAAGATAACATCAATTTTACTGGTGAGGAAAAGACTTCAAAACACCAAACCACCATATTTAGCATTCAAATCAAGAATTTTTACTGTAAGTTATTAAAAATCTAGTTGTTTCAGTATAATTGGTTTTTATCACTTGATTGTATTTGTAAAGTAATAGTTCCCACCTGCTTATACATAGTACCAGAGTTTGGCTGCTTGCATAACAAAAGGATATTCCCAAAATTCACATAGATCTTCCCTGGATTAGAATTACTGAAGACAATGGAGTAGAAAACAAGAAGTACCAACTGTTATTACGTGATGCCTCTACAATATTGATCTGAGATCACCCTTAGTCTAGCTGCAAATGTATTTCTTATTAGGAATGCAGGTAGGTAACTGCTAGGAATGAGCCTACCCCTACATTTTTTGCCCTTTGGTGATACGATACCACTGAAGGAATTAAAAGACGCATGATGGTATACTGAGTTAGGCAGTCATGGCCAATCATACCCATGGCACAGTAAATTTAGGAAAGGTAAAGCCTGTGCTCAGAAAAGCTAAAGTTTAAGCTTTCTCCCACACTTGCTTAAAAAACCTGTGAAATCTGCATAAAAGTGCAGCTAAGCCTTCACTTAAAATGCAGTGTAGATGTAACTACAACGGAGGCAGCTGCCAAAAAGACAGCTTACTGTGGTGTTGGGTGTAATCGATGCTTGCTTGTAATCAACAAGGAATGAAAGCAAGCAGCAAAGCTTTAACAAAATATCCCACACTAAAGGCTCTCACGTACACCGTAATATTCAGCCGTTATCACTTAACATTCTGACTGCGACTCTGGAGGTTGTCATCAGAATTTTTGGGATTTCTTCAGCAAATGGAGCATTCAAGTTATCTAATATACAAGATGTCAGGAAAACACTGGCAATTTGCATATAAGTAAATTGGTATATACCAAGAAGAGAAGATAAACACTCACTGTGAAGTTCTGACTGAAGTTCTGGTTGTATCCTGATGGATAAAACTCAGGTGCTTTAGCAGACAACTTTGACGTGACCACAGGAGCCTCAGCCACCTGAGGTTCAGCCACTTCTGGTCCAGAATCAGGAACTGAAACTTTGTCTTGTGATCCAGATGGAATTCCCGTTTGTTGGAGGTGTTCTGAAAAGTTTTCATTAACAGCTTTTCTTAGAAATCGCTAAACTAGTATGTATTCACATAAAGTACACACAGAATAACTCATTTTTTGGACTTTAAATATACTTTAACAACACTAATTTTTAACACTCAAGCTAAGTGTCAAGGACACTTCACTATCATTGTTCTCGTACACCATCTGCAAAACAATCCAATGAAACAGTGCTTTTAAAACAACATTTTTCAAATGTATCTTTATAGACTAGCTCCTAAGTTTATTGAAAACAGAACCTGATACCTACCTGAGAAAGGTAACCAACAGACAATGCTTTGTGTTATTGTTGGGTTAGGTTTATTTTTTGGCAAACCTTTAGGCTGGAGTTCTTCAATAAGGGGAAGGCTAAGATCATCTGCGGGGAGATCAACAGATGGATAAAACGCAGGCACAGATGCGTGGGCACAGAGAGCGGGGCGGGGGGGACACAACACGGACGAAGAGGCATTGCAAGCAGCTGCAATACATCACACCTTTACCTGGCACAGGCTCATAACCCAGAAACATGACCGCTCTCCCGAGGAAAGGTGCAGGTGGCCCTATGCGGCTCATCTCCATGCAGTGCCAAGAGAAGCCAGGCAGGTGCCTGGGGTGCGCAAAGCCCTGGCCCTCAGGCCGCGGTGACCTCTCTGCGCCTAGGTGTGGGGGAGGGAAAAAGGACGCGTCCCCGTGGCCAGGCTGGAGGGAGGTGAGGGGAAGCCCCACGGCTCCAGTCTCAGTGGGACGGCGAAGGGGGTGGGGGGGAGTGGGAGCGACAAGCA